ATAGATTAAATTAAGAACAGCCAAACAAGTTCATCAAACCAGACCCGACCAGAAGTACTTACCATTATGCCTAAATCGTTTATTCGCATTAATTTAGCCGGTGGGTATAAAGGACGTTTATTAATAGATTGAATTAAGAACAGCAAAACGAAATCACCAAACAATAACATAAATACTTACTTATTACGCCCAAATCATTCATTCGCATTAATTTAGCCGGTAAGTATAAAAAGCGTGTGTCTATTAATAGATTGGATTAAGAACAGCAAAACGAATAAGAACACAAATACTTACCTATTATGCCCAAATCGTTCGTTCGCCTTAATTTATCCGGTATGTATAAAAAGCGAGCGTCTATTAATAGACTGAATTAAAAACGGCAAAACGAATTCACCAAACAAGAACATAAATATTTACTTATAATTACGACCAAATCGTTCATTTGCATTACTTTAGCCAGTGGGTATAAAGAATATTTATTAATGAATTAAATTAAGAACAGCAAAACAAGTTCACCAAACAAAGCCACAAATATTTACCATTACTCCCAAATCATTTATTCGTATTAATTTAGCCGGCAAGTATAAAGAACGTTTACTCGTGGTTGAATTAAAAGCATCAAAATAAATTCATCAAACCAGAACATAAATACTTACCAATACGACCAAACCGCTCGTTCGCGTTAATTAAGTCGGTAGGCATAAAGGATATTTATTAATGGGTTGAATTAAAAACAGCAAAACAAGTCTACCGGACAAGACTACAAATACTTACTTACCATTACATCAAAATCACTGATTCGCATTAATTTAGCAGGAGGTATAAAGAACATTTATTCATGGATTAAATTAAGAGCAACAAAACAAATTCACTTAACAAGAACATAAATACTTACTCACCATTGTGCCTAGATCGTTATTCGCATTAATATACCTGGTGGGTATAAAGAACATTTATTCGTAATTAAATTAAGAGTAGCAAAACAAATTCATCGAACATGAACATAAATACTTACTTACCATTACACTTAAATCGTTCATTCGCATTAATTTAGCCGATAGGTATAAAAAACATTTATTAATGGATGGAATTAAAAATATCAAAACAAGTTCTCAATAATATAAATACTTACCATTATGTTCAACTCATTTTCATGGTGAATTAAGAAAACTTATTACGAAATTTAATAAATACAAAAATTGATTTATTTTTTAATTAAAAAAATGCTATATATACAAAATACTGTTTTAAGTCATAAAATAACTACATAGAAGTGATTAATGTTGTATGCATATCAAACCTTAAATATTGTGGCGGATCGTAATGAAATCCAAAATGAAGTTATAATATAAAATCTCAAAAGATAAAAATTTTTGGGTGCACTTTTTTAGGGATAGGGGTTAGGGTTAGGGGTTAGGTTTAAAGTAAAGTTATAATAAACAAGTGTAAGTGGGTTTTAGAAAATGTAGAATTTATTTTAAATTATGATCCGCGACAAATATTGTTGTTTTAGGGTTAGGGTAAAAGCTTAGGGTTAAGGTTAGGTAGGTATTAGTTATATAAATATCTAAATTTGCCACGCGATCTTATATACATATATGGGAATTATATTTAATAAAACGTACAATTGCCGCATAATAAAAAAAAAAAAATCAAACGAATAAATAAATTAAATAAATAACAATAAAAACCGATATAAACACCGCATCATCAAAACTTAAATAAACCGAAACTTTAACCAATAAAAATACTCTAATAGGCCCTCTACGCTGCGTACAATCGATAAAAACAAAGATCATTGCAAAGCCTGATAACTACACTTAACATTGACTATAACAAAAATCAGCTAAAACCCTCTTCAAGCACATAAACACCAAATTCAATTTCGATAAATAACTGATTTAAAAGCAAACACTAGACAACTCCATCATATTCCCATTACTGTTAAACATATTAATCATACTCAAACTTTACATTCAGAACTCGAACATAAAATCGATCTTTATTAACAAACTAACCACTTTAAACATCAAAAAATCTTATAATTCTATCACATTAACAAAAATAAAATGATTTGCTTAGCTTGATCTCGAAATCTAATTGGCCAATACGATAAAAAAAAAACTCCCAGCGCATGGGCAGGCGCACAACTTGTTATATTGTATGCAACTGTTTAGTCAGTATTCACTAACATAATAAAATTGTCTTCACGGTTATCATGTGCAAGTACTTATCGAAAATTATATTGCATTACTGTATAGGTGTTATTTCGGAACGTATACTATTTTTAGAGTGCACGATTTTCGAAATAGCGCCCATGCCCGTTATTTCGAGAATTTACGGCTGTAAACAGTACGGGGTTTCTTTTTCAAAAACACAAAAATGATTTAGACATTCATAGGCTGGAGATGGCGAAGTCTTAATTCTGGACTTGAAACCTGATCTTGGGACCTAGTTTTAAATACATGTGGTTGAGTCAGTAGAAATCAAGCAAATTTTTTCTAAATGTTTTTATCAAATAACAACAATAACTCAACAAAAATTCAATCAAATTTAATAAAAATAAAATTTTACAAACTTATAAAATTTATTTTATTAAATTTGATTAAGTCTTTGTTAAGTTATTGATGTTTAAATTTTTAAGAAAAAATTAATAAAAACAATTTGCTTGATTTCTACTGACTTACCCCTCACATAATTTTACGACCCAGGCTCATAAGTCCACCAATATTGGTCATATGAAAAGTAAAACAGGTTCCAAACCTAAATATATACCAATATATAATAAAAAGATAAAATTAATATGCCATCTCAATGAGAAAAATTGGTTGCAACGTAAATTACATAAATTTCTAGCACTAATATTTATTTGTATAGAGTATTTATGACTGTTCTAGAACCTGGACTAAATCTAGTCAAACCTAGGTTTTTTATGTAAGAACCTGGTTTATGCGATAAGATTTACAAGTCTAGGACAAAGACTTACACTGACTTTACCAATTCTAGGGGATGATACTCAGGCTTAATAAAAACTTTCATAAAATTTTAATTTGCTACTTATCGTTAGGTCGCGTATGAAAACAAACTAGAAAACCACGTGGTTACATATTACGGACATGAATTACGTAGATACACGCGTACAAAGCGCAAACAAGTGAAAACAAACTTTGAATTATTCATAGTTGACAGTTTCAATAATTTTTGGCATCCTCAAAATAATTTTTATTTTTTTTAGTTTAATGCATAAAATTCTACCTGATATATCACCAAAAAGAACCATAACTACATTCGAGGCTCGCTCATCATTTAATTATCAGGAAAAAACAAGGTTATAGAAAGATTTTGGTGCTTATAAACCATTACTAATAAAGTCTATTATGATCGAAAATGACCAGAAACTATTTTGATCGCACAAAAAAAACTTTATCTAAAATGTCAACTTAATCCAATTTTCCACTCATCTTAGTTAATTCCCACCATAACTTCGTATCAATAGGAATATCCAGATTATTAGGCAAATACTCTACTAATATTTCCATCAATTCATCTAGTGGTTCACTCTTATGAACCTCTATCAAGTGCTTTCTTACATAATCATAATTATAAGAAGGCACTCTAGCCCAAAACCAACATAATTTACATCTAAATAATCCTGTATTTGCCAATCCTCTTAACACTGCACCTTTTATCGTGTGAGCTGGGTTTCGTAAAAACACTACCGCTTCGGTCGACAAGATTGGTATTAGTACTTCATCAACAAATCTCTCATCCCAAGGTTGGTATGGGTAATTGTATTGAACTGGTGGATCCGAAAACGACGGACACCAGCGTAAAAACTTTAAAAGATTTATTACAGATCTCGTTTGTGAATATTCATTATTGTGTACAGGGCCTCCTACATACGGTGAATTTGAGGAAAAGGTAATATTGGACGCTATAGTCGGCAAGGTTGTTATTCCTTGTTCCAATAATAACGGTGTATGCCGCGGTAGAAGAGCTCTAATCTTCTCAATAATATACATTTGTTGACTTAAAAGTTGGATTTGTTGCATTCTATCAGAAGTAAAATACTCTGAGGCGTGTACTTGTTGCAATTGTTTCTCGATCCACGCTTGCCAAAGTGCGGGACAAGTAACGTTACCAACTTGGAATATGTCAAAGGATGGAACTTCTTGCCGATTCCAAGGAAGAGACGTTGACTGTTGTATGGAAACATCTGTGATTGAATTCATAACTGACCACGAAACAGGGGTTGTTGGGGCAGTTGGTTGTTGATTACTTGGTTTTGATTGTATACAATTATTCTGATTCATTGTAAAAGGAAATTCATCAGTGATACCATATTTAACTGGCGATGTCCCTTCTGATGGCCATATCATCTGATCTGATGTTAAATTCTCAATTCTGTTGTAATGATCAGGCGTATATAAGTCATTTAACCAAAATGAATGTTCTGCTGACATGTTCATTTGACCGTATATTTGACTAGACACGCAGTCTTTGGGTTCAAACACTGATTGCTGACTCTGTTCAAATGTGTCCTGTTTTTTCCAGGATTCTCTTGTAACCTCAATCATGTTCATAGTTTCAGGAGAAAAAGGAATCATTCTCCATTTGAAATGTTCATTTGATCCAGCCTCAATATCTTGACATATTGTATCTGAATCATCATCATCATTAAGTAAAATGTCAGTGCAAGTAGTGTCTGTATTTATTTCTGACGTAGATTGTTGGGAATCACCTTCTATATATTGGTCCAACAATGATTGTTGTACATCGATGCACGCGCTATCTGTATTCTGAATATCACATGTTGCCAAAAGTTGCTGTCCTTCTATGCACATATCATCCGTTTTTTGATCAATCATGATTGATGGAGAAAATTTACTCATGTCAGCATTACATGACTTATTAATAGGTTGATCAGGAATTTGAGAGATCAAATATTGATCATCGCTGGTTTCAGGCAACCCGATCATGTTTTTAAAATCAACCATCTCGTTAGATTTATGATCGATCGTTTGAGGTAATTGGGCACCTGTTGTGTCAGGCGAATTGATTTCTGAATCAGATGAAGCGGAGTCCATGTTTTCTCCTTTATGTCTTGCCGAAACTATTTGGTACTCATTTAACAATTTTCCTTTAAGCAATGTCCATTTTTTATCAGTGAATGGGGTTCTCTGTTGAATAGCGTTTTGATATGAAGGACATTCAAAAATGAATTTTTCCAAGTACTTTGAAGTTCCATCATCAGCCTTTTCATCCAACAATTCTTTAAGATATTGTGCGATTGCCTCTTTTCTGAGGGTACTATTTTGATCCCTGATTTCAACCATTGCCTTACGTTCTTCAGAATCAGCTTGCGTACGAATTTCAACATCATCCATAATCAAACGGACCAATTCACATTTTTGTTTTAACCAATCAAATCGACTTTCAACAGGAATTGACTCATATTCTTTGACATATGCATCCACCATAGACGACCAATAAAATTTAACACCTTTTTCTTGATGAAATGGTAATGCGCAAATCAAATCAGAAGGAATATTAGAAGCAATGGAATCGCCTCTAAATAATTAACCGACAATTGGATAAATGAACATAAAATATCAAATGGTTGAAAATTAAAAAGTAAGAGATTAACATACCTCGTTGTCTTTGATTTAAAACAAGGGCCACAACAACGAACCCGAAATACCCAGTATATCTTTCTGATCCGTGACTTATTACAAAATTGACAACCACGGTTATTCAAAAGTTCATGATATTGTTCTTGAGTTATTCCATCAGGGGGTGGCAAATCCGAACGTTTATACATAGCAATCTCTGGTATTTGCTGCGGCTCACTCGAATCATCACATGATCTCGCGTTTGACGAGGCGGCAGATATTGAATCAATAGAAGGTGGAGATGATATCGTAATGGTAGGCGAAATTATTGAAGAATTTTCTTTATTTTGACATTTTTGAGAAATTATAGCGTCCATTAATGGTTTTCGCTTTGATGGTGGCATAATCATGAGTGATAATTCCTTATATCGTTATACCCTATAATACAGTAATATCGAAAGTTATATAAGCTTTCAAAATGGAAGTGGACAAAACGAGTAAAAAAAAGATGATAAATATATATAATATAAAACATACTCTGGTTCAAAGTTACTTGGTAGTAGTGGGCCGCGTTAAAAGTTTCGCGTCGCTAATCTGTAAAAAAATCGAATGAAAGAATGAGATAAGGGGCATAAAATAGTGCAGATCAACTATTTATACTTTAAAATCGCCAATTTTTGATTTACCTCTGATTCGGTTACATCAGTTGGTGTATTTTTGACACAATTGTTACACATCCAATAACATAGATTCAATCATAAAATGCGCGTGCAAATTATAAAAAGGTTGTACAATATAATAAAAATGAGCATGTAATAAAAGTAATAAATAAAAGTAATAAAAGGAATAAATAGTAAAAGGTGTGATATAAACGCAGTAAATTAATAAAATAACAATAAAAACGAGATGAAAAAAAGTTTTGAGGTAACCAAAAACGTCCAACAAGGAATTTCGGAGATAAAACCTTACTGATAAGGCGTGATTATTGAGTAGTCAACACGTGGCTTTGCCCTGGACTTGCAGTAGCGTCGTGACATTGACGATCTTTATTTATGTGTGAATCCTGTGTGAATCTTGATCTCGGAAAAGTCTCGCGTGGGAGAATTTGTACAAGATTCGTAGATTTAACAGCCACACCATTCGTTCTTTTTTTGTAACTGTGCATAACATTATTGTAGGTACGAATGGCAGTGCCGAATGTTCACCAGAGCCATGAAAGAAGGTTCTTTATTGTGACGATTCTTATTTCAGTGGCAGTCCCTCGATCAAAGTACTTTCAATTGCTGTGTAATAACGTGGCTTGTTTTTTAATTTATTGTTAAGATACCAGGTGGTAAACGGGTATAATTAATTCGTATTCCAAGAAAGTTTTAACTTGCTGAGATAACGACGGAACTTGGTAAATAAAGGAAATGACGATAAGGATCCGACAGAATCGGATTGACCTAGAAGTTGGACACTGCATATATGTTGGGAAAATCTTTTGATTAAAAACTGGGACATCTTTCGACCCTTTTTTATGCATAATTTTCTAGAAAACAGGAATTACGCGTGTCGTTTCCGACTTGAACAGGACATAACGTGATTGGTACGGCATTGCTTGTGGAGAGCATAGGGCGTGTGCAGTTCAATACGCTCAATTCAAATTTACTTATTTTAATACCATTCCTGATATATCCTTTTTTTGGTTTAATGTTTTAAGATCCTTGTTTCATTCAAGCTTTTGTTACGCCAATTTTCCGAATTAAATCTGAAAATTTCAAAGATAGTATTTAAAAATGACATTGATAAAAATCTCCAACATTCGGATCTGGAACTGAGACATTTTGTGGCCGTGTTTCATGAAACAATGCGCCTTTTTTGATAGAGAATGATGAATTCTAATTGCAAGTCTTCCCTTAGATAATCAAATCAAATAAATACAAAATAATACGCCATTACATTCTACAGGACCATAACTCGCCGTCTAGCTATGATTTGTCATCATCGTCATTAGGCATTTATATTTGTGACGCAATATTTTTTGTATAATTGCTGATTAATATTTGGTATTCACAGCCGGGATTTTGCTTGGTCCAAGGTATTCGACTTCATTATACAATGAAGTAGTGAAGTTTCGATTGTAAAGTTTTCATGTAAAATATTTACAAGCATCGATTATAATGATAAGAACCATACTTAAAAGTGTAGCCACAAGTGAATAACGCGTCTACTTTTCACCGGCCACTTATTTATTGAGTCATCAATTGCTCAGCAATCATCAGATTATCAAATAACGCGTCTATCGTGCATTTGTTGATTGGTCAAATAGGTGTTACGCAACAAGGACCAAGCCTTGGCCTATATGCCAAATTACGTATAACATACGTACGTACGTACATATGTGCGTAAGTACTGCCCGCTACCTACTACCTATGTATATGCTGCACATTGAGTTTGTTTATTATGCAAAGCCTCTTTATAATTCCATTTTACAATTCCATTTTTATATAACTTATACTAATGTTACAACCATATGCCTACTTGCCTTTGTCAAATAAAAATAAAAAAAATCATTCCGGCTGTTATTTATATTTAAAAAAAATCATACGAATCATTGGATTATTATATAATTCTTAACTGCTGCTTTACGTCAATATGATCTCTTTTTTTTTTACTTTTTCTCAGGATTCTCAGGATTCTCAAGATTTGCAGCCTTTTAATAATAGTATGCACTTTTTTTTTTCCTGAATTTTTACCACTCAGCAGATCAACAGGAAAACGAAAATCGCACTAGATAATCTAGGATGTTCTCATATGCATATCTCGGACAATTTTGTTACTCCTCCATTGTGATCATAAATAGATCTTTTTATATGCGTATGTGCTCCGTGCATACATAAAGTTTCTATTTGTTTAGGCGACAATTGGTTGGTAATAATGTCATGGTGTGAAAAAAATTCTTTTTATCAATTATTCAGATTTAGGTTATAATTAACTAACTTGGCAAACAGGAACCGTTGTATGTTCAAACAAATGTTATAATACCGATACGTATTAAAATCAAAACGAAACTGCAAAAAAAGGAAGCAAATAATTTGAATGTCATATAAAAATATAGTACAGTCGTCCCTCATTAATATCAACCCCGTTAATATCAACCTAGGATATAAAATGAATTTCTATATGTTAAATGATATTCAAATTCCCTCCTATAAATCAACTTTAATATGTTCCCTCATTAATATCACTATCAACATGAATATAAAAACGATCCAAATAGGTTGATATTAATGAGGGACGACTGTATAGCTTTTAAAACAATCTTATTAATTACTAACCTTGATATAGAAAATGTCGTATTTAGCCAAATTATTTCTTGACTTTCTTATATTGAAAATTTTTACGTATTTGAAGATATACATAAAAGTTTTTCTATCTAATTTTAAAACTGATGCAGTTTTATTAGTTTAAAAATATAGAATATTAAATGTGGTATATAGCTTATTTAAATTTATAATATATATTTACATATACGTAGAGTGTCTCTTATTAAAAGGGCCTATTTTGACAATTTTTTAAAATTTTTTTTAATTTGAATAGATATACTGTATATTTAATAAAAAAAAGTTTGTTATAAATAACAGAAGCTAATTACATAATAAAAATGTTACAAAATAAATTTAAAGTAAAAAAAATTTTGCATTTCTATATATATATTTAAAATTTATTACCGATATTTAAATTCGATTTATTTAATATGTCAAAAATAAACTTTAGATAGGTAAGCAAATATAATAATAATATAAATATAATACTATATATATATAAAACTAAATGGTTTAAACTAATATCTAAATATTTTAACTTTTATTTATTAATCTATTTATAAACAATTTAATTAATTTAAATAAGTTAATTATATTTATATAATTATATTTTATATTGTTATTATATTTGCCTATCTATTTTAAAGTTTATTTTGTATTAAAATAAATCCTTTTAATATAAGATATTTAATATAAATAATACTAATTTTAAAATCTAATTATAAAAAAAATTATAAAAATATTTTAATAATTTTATATAATAAAATATAATAAATTAAACTTTAGTATAAACCAATTTTCAAAAATAAAAGTTTAAACTATATTATTAATATTGTAGTACTAACAAACTCTTTCTGTTAATCCTCTATACACAAAATTGCAGAAACAAAACATCAACAAAAACACATAAACACTAGTAGAAAACAAGATTTGTAGCCCTAAAAAAAAAGAAAGATGACCAAAAATAATATTTAGTTGTTTAAAAGACTAAAGTAAGAAAAGTAGAAGCAGCAGAAATATACTGTAAAAGAAAATATTAAAAATTGTTGATAATTTTTGCTCTTTGCAAGTTATTTAGAGAATTGATCTTGATTTTGTATAACATGAAATGAAAAGTAAACAAAAAAAATGTGTTAATAACTATGTAACAAATAAAAACAAAAGAGCTATACAAATATAACAACAGAATAGTTACAGACAACAAAAATCAACAGAAGATTCTAGAAAAAAATTAATTATAGCAAAATAAGCAGAGATATAAATAGAGATACTTTATAAAGAATTAAGTTAGTATAGAGCAGAAAAAATTAAATATACAGAACTTGCACTTAGAAATAGAAATAATATAAAATATAGTAGAAAATCAAATCAGTTAAACTTATTATATATAGAGAGATAAACAAAACTATAAAGGATATGACAAAAATCAGTTGATTTTTTAGGAGAAGTAAAAAATTTAAAATTATATACAATATAAAGACCTGATCAAAATATATAATAAGAGGAGAAAGAAGATAAGCTTTTGATAAAAAAATTAAATAATAAATATACTGCTCTAAGAAATCTAAGTATAGTAGAAAAAGCAAAATGAATGATATGAAATAAAAAAAGACAATATGAAGCCTAAACTAGAAGTAAGATAGTAGAATAAACTAGTCAAACAAAAAAATTTTGTCAATATTAATAAAATAAAATAATATTACAATTACTATTATAATGCTTTAAAGAATCTGTCAAAGTATTTATAATGAAACAATATATAAAAAAGAAAAGAATTAAAGTAAAAAATTAGCAAAAACTCTTTCTGATGATCCTCTGATTATCAGCAAATTTAAAGGAGCAAAATATTGTGAAAGAATTTGCATTACGAAAAAATTTCGCAAATTAGTGCAAAAAATTTCGAAATATTTCAAAATATAATATTTTTGAAAAATTTTGATAAATATTTCAAAATATTTCGAAAGTTATTTCGCAATATTGTATCAAAATAATTTTGAAATAATTTGAAATAATTAAAATTAATGAAGAATATGCTAAATATAATAAAA